CGCTCTCCGTCCGGCCGCTGGGCGAGCTGGCGGGCGAGGGCTCCGGGAGCTCGTCGGGGGGCGGCGCGGGCTCATCCTCGCTCACGATCAGCACCAGCGGGTTCTTGGGGCAGGTCCTCTTGTGCCGCAGGAAGTCCGTCCACTTGAAGAACTCGGCACAGCACTGCTCGCACACGCTGGTGTCCTCGCCCCCACTCCTGCTGTCGGGGCCGCTGTCGCCGTCGTCGGCGCCCTCCCCGGGGACGGCTGCAAGAACCGAGAGATCACGTCAGCCGGTGGCCGGCGGCACCACCCGCCCTCCACTTCGACACTTTGCACATACGCAAAATCAGTATTTTTTATTTTGTACAAATTACCCCACTTCAACGTGTCTGCCGTGCCGCGTGTGGGCTCCACGACTCTTTCTAGCTGGCTAATCATTTTCTTAGCACAATCCATCAAATTATGAGGCTCTATCAATTGTGGATACTGCTTCTTAATGAAATTCCATAGAAGCCATTGATTTCCAATATTTTCATACAATCCGCAGCCACCCTGTCTGTTGGGTACAAAGCCAGCTTTCGATGGCCTCATTAGGATTCCCCCTACCATCCGGGTTCCTCATTTCCAGCAAAATTAGAGATGCCTTTGCCAGTTCACTTAACATCGCTAAACTAATCTGTAACCTTTCAAACTCACGTCAGCACCTGCCAGGGGAGCTGGCCGCCGCCTCTCTGGGTGTGGGCCTGCGAGATTTATGGTCTGCACCAGCGCGAGCCCCCAGAGTTAACGCGATCCTACAGAACCTTTCGAATCAAGGGGCGTTTGTTTCACGTAGGGAAGTTCAGCTAAATGCTTTCATTTGTAAACGGAACAAAGAAAGTATAAGCACTTTCTCTCATCTCTGCCCAAAAAAGTCTCCCGGCTCGTAGCTGCTTAACGGATCAACGCCATATCTTTGTAGCTCTTCGTACGTTTCTCACAGAGAGGGTACGTGTCTGCATTTTAGGGTTTACCAAACGGACATCATCGATACGGTCTGGGCCTAAAATTAATCATGTTTAATACAATTAATGGGCTCTATCAGATGCAATATTTCTTGGCGAAATGAAGCAAAATTATATGTTATTGTTATCAGCCAATAGAGCTCGGCGATTTGTTAACAAACCAGAAATTATATATTTAAAGTTCATTTATGTTGACATGTTTAACATGAGAATGTTGTAGTCAGACACACTTTTTGTACCTATTTTCATCTATTCTCATAGAAAGACTTAGCAAATTATATGCTTCTGCCATAGTGGAGAACCCTCTAATTGGTTACACATGTTTAATTACTGTTGTAGGCAGCTACTTCCTGGCTCCCTAACCCTCTTGTGCCGAATAACAACCCTGTTTAATGAACAATTCTAATTCACACCTGATCAAATAAATAGCTGTACAGGAACGAGAAATCAACAGACAATAACATTTCTAGCTCCCCGGTTTTTGGTAGTCGGGGTGAAAGGTAATGCACAGTAATTACGCGGCTGTGCGCTGGCCTGGACACTGCTGACTTGTAACTGCTTTTCGTCAACTTACAGATGGAGTGACAGCAACAAATCAGTTTGCACAGAAATGACAGCTGCAAATCAGCGCTCCGCTACGGGCGAGGTCGAGTGTGAAAACAAAACATCTTAAGTTTGCGTTCCCGGAGACAGTCTGCTGTCATACCATCACCAAATGCACTCGCTACGAAGTCTCCGTATTTTTTTTTTCTTTTAGGGTTTTCGGGGACAAAAAAAAAAAAAATGAATTTGGCGCTGATTTCAGTAGAGAAATCTGATTTTTGAAAAATATCCTGAAGAAACATTTAGTCCCTTTACTGGAAAATAAAAATACTTTTCGAGGCTCGTCTGCTGCCCTCCATGAGGCCATTACTCCCAGGTAATTTATACATGCCTTTAAAAAATTATTAGCAGTGTTCAATTAGCATTTTCTTAACTGGCTAAACCATTTGAAGGGGAAAAGTTAGAGCTTGCAGCCCATAAAGACCCGCTGGACTTTTAAACTAAATTCGGTGCTGCAGATCAGACTGCAAGGAGTCTCATTACTGTATGGAGGAAGGAATGTAATAGGGATTCGTAATGAGGTTGAGTCTGGCTGGAAGCAAAGGCACAGCTGATTTATACTGCAGATAGGCACATTAACAAAATAAATACTCGGAGTACTTAACTTTGCTCAATGCATGCAAAATCTAATTTTAAACTTGCTAAGGTTATGGAACAGGACAAAAACAAAGCACACTAAAATCTTCAGGTAAATAATTTCTTAAAGATTGTTAGAGCGTAAGGGCTGTCTCAGATTCTGGCCACGCATTTAAAAAATCATCACATGATGCCGAGAATCTCTGTTTTAAAACTTCTTTATAACAGTGGAAGGTTCTCTGGCCGACCTCCGCATTTAAAAAAGTTTCAGTGCCGTTAAAAGTCCATCTGTGTTAAGCCACCAAGTTGGCAACAACGTCGCATTACATCCTATTTTGCCTAAATGCAGGCCAGAATATTATTAAAAGTTCTCTTCCAATATTTTAAAGCTATGATATAATGGCCTGCTATAATCTTCATATTGATTTTTATCTTAATACTCTAAAAATTCCCAAGAAATTAAATATTGCTAAATTTTGAAATATTTTCCTTTAGCTTTTTAGAGGACATAGAATGTTTAGCTTCTGTGTGGCACACAAAAGCCTTCACATGGTCTATACATTTAAAGTTTACACAATTAAGCACAGTCTTTATCTTACCGAAGAGTACTCTTTCTTTATATGGAATAGGCGTTTGGGACAACTCACTGAGAAACGCCTAAGAATTAGTTCCTGGATCGTTTTCAGCGTGTTGAGAGCTGGAAGAACTCACTGAATTTTAAGGAAGTATCTTCGCAGAGCGCATGCAGGAAACTGGCGTGTGAAAGGAAAGTAGGACTTTGCGACTCTGCTTCCCCCCACGCTCCCCAGAGTTCTTCGGCAGCCCCAACCGTCCCTGCGCTTCACAGCCCGGCTTTCCATTTCCGCCGGGGTTTCGTGTTTCCCTGCGGGGCTCACCTCCAAACCCACGCCCTGTGTCCCCTCAGGTGACTGCCTCGTCCTCCCCCCCGGCCGGCTCGCTCAGTCACTGCGGTTGTGGCAAACTGCACGGAATATTTCAGTGCTTTCTACAAGAGGACGTCCCTTTGCTTGATGCTGTTCTAGGTGCCAGTTACCTGAACTTAACGAAATATTCTCGCCGAGGTAAAATCTCCTTCCACTTAATAGTCCTTTAAAATTGAAAAAAGCAAAACTGAAGAGAGGAAATCGTCTTAGAAAGGACACCTGAGTGTGTGGGCCTGTCGCCAGTTCATTGTGTTAACGATCCTGACGAAGCGGACAATTGTTGGCTTTTTAAAAGCAGAGTTTCATAACAAATTTGCTTTTTGAGTAAAACATTTAAAAAACTACAATTAGGGAAGGGAAAAAATTCTTCGCTGCGATTCAGATTTAATTTGGACAAACGCCTATAATTTTTTTCTGGGGTCTGTATGAAATGTCAATTGCCTGGCCACGTCTATGGTGAGTCCCACTTGCTCAGGCGATGACCATGTATTTCACTATCAGAAGCTGAATGTGATGAGCACTCTGTCCGAGTCACGGAGAAGTACGAGTTTCATGAGATGGTCTTAAAACATGCATTCGAATAAGAAACTCTAATGTCAATACTGCACTGAGATTGTGGATGCGTATTTTAAGAATGCTATGTATGAAACAGCGACTGTGAACTGGCAGGCAGCAAGGAGCCAGAGCCAGCCTGTTTGCCAGGGACAGAGCCCTCTGAGTAGCAAGACACTGCGCTGGCACACAGTGACAGCACCGACTTCTGATGGAGGGCGAGACATCAAATAAGCCATAAGTTGCTTGATGGGCTTCTCATTACAACGGCTGAATGTATCGTGTTACAGTGTGTATGTGCTAATCTGTCAGTGTTTGTTTATTTTAAAAAATGCTTTCTCCAGCAAGAAAAGCCATGTGGGAAAAATCTGTATGCGACTCACGATTTTATCATATAACTTCTAAAGCCTTTTAATCCTGCCATTGTTTTAAGCCAATATTATGTCAGATTCAAATGTATTCGACTATCCTTTAATTAAATTTACATTTTAAACTGGGCTTTGTGTTCTAAAAACAGAAGGCATTACCTCCATTAGAGAATATGGCTTAAAATTTTCATTTCAAGGTAAAACCATGTAAACGAGCTACTGTAACAGCACACGTTTGAGACACTTATTTCCAAAGCAACTGGAAATTCTTTCTTCGGGGGGAGTTAAAAACAAGCATTGTAAACATCATCATTAATGTCAGAGCAATTTTAGCTTTTGCACAGTGACTATTCAGTGAGTAAGAGATTTCCAATGGTAAACGGGTGAGGGATGAGGCAGGCATTTAAGTGTGTGAGGTTAGATCAGAACACGCGAGGAAAAACGCCAGCCCGCGAGCCCGTCACAGGACCTCGTCGGATCCCCGCCAGTGAGCAGGGCGGCCTGTCGGGGCGGCCCGCTAGCACGCCGTGCAGCGCCGTGACGAGGCAGCTGCCTTGGGAATAAGCCTGCTCGCTAACATCAAACGCGGGGCAGCCTGGGACCTGCAGTCGGCCTGGGCTTCACGCTGACCCTGTCTCCCTGACACACAGGAGGGAGAAGACACAGGCTGGACAGGCAGCTGTCCCGGTGCCAGAGGAAACGTGTGGTCAGTTCGGTGTCCCCACGCCAGCCACCTGTGCCTGGGGCTTTTCAGGCTTTCCTGAGCAAGTTCTCAGTTCTTCAGAAGAAGAGAAAGTGGGTCCCCTGGCCTTTTAGAGAAAGTCCTCAACCAAAGGGACAGCTTCAGTGACAGTCTTAAAAACACAAGTTTTTTTTTCCTCACTAATAAAACACAGAGAATGTACAACAAAAATGTCCCCATTCCTAGGATCAACTAACTCTCTCAGTGTGAAAGGACCTCCCCTCCCCCCCACCGCCCCCCCCCTCAAAAACCACAAAAAAACCCTGCTTCACCACCTCTCAGCTTTAATTCCTGCTCTGTTATATAACATACGTATATGATGTTTTCGGGTCTGGGGGAGTGTATAACGGTCTCCTAAAGAACGATGTGGCAGAAGACAGAATGTCCCCACCCGATGACCTTTCTGAAGCCCCAAGTGAAAAAGCACGTGGAGGGATATTGGAGACATAAGCTTTCTTTAAGATGCCAAACGACA